AAACAAAGAAAGAACATCCTTTTTGTTTAATTGGTTCTTGTTTGAGTTCAAAACTTCAAATTTTATGTCTGTTAATTAATTAATTAATTAATTAATAATGGTGTTTGCATGCATGCATGTCTATTGTGAATGTTACAAGGAGGAAGCTTGTTGACTATAGAAACGAGAGATTTGTAATCTTAGTGCAATATTTATAATTCATTTCTGCCTAGCTTAGGTTGATCGTGTTTTAATAATGATTTCTTTGTTTAATCTTTCCAGAAATTTTGGGTGGTTCCTCAGAGCAGGGTGAAGATGAAAGGGATGATGACGTGAAACATCAGGCTGGGTTGCCAAATTCACCATCTTCTTCAGGTGGGTTTCCGTTAGTTTTCTTCAAAAGGACTGTGTAGAGAGGGCATGAGTGTTCTACCCATTTTTTTTGGTGGAAATGTGGATTCCATACACGACATATTATGTTGTTTGCGTCCCCCCAAGAAATATGTTTTCAGATTGTCTTGCTCTTGGAACATTCACACAGATCAGGTCGGGTCCTGCTACTGTGATTATTGTGAATGAGTGTCAATCTGTTATGCACTATTTCACAGCATCAAAGCGTTATGCAGATTCCGGCTCGAAATTTTTTTTCTCTCGGTTCGTGTGTCTCTTGGCTTTAATTTCCTCAATGCCTCGACTGACATCCTTGTTTGTTATGTGGCAGGTCACTGTGATGATAATTTCTGGAATCTCATATGAATTTCATCCAGCATTTTCATTTTTCCTTTTTCTTTTTCCAGTTACTGCCTTGTTTTTATGTAAATACGTTTATGCTTGTTTTTAACTAGGTAAAATTGCTGCTTTGAAGTAATTAATGTGTTATCAAACAAGTCAAATACCTGCAGCAAATCAGAAATGTTGTGACAGCAGTTACAGGGTGGTGATTATTTATCAATAGACGGGTCAAAGTGCTAGTGATACGTGCAACAACAGTACAGTGAAGCACATTTAACAAAAGACAGAAACAAGAAGTTGAGAGAGATAAAGAGTACCCGATCAGCAAACAGGCTCTCTTTTTTGTTCGTCTTGAATAATGCCAACTGAAATTTCTCCTGCCACGGTAATAAATAATTGCCAAATTCTCATCATAATTTACATAAAAACCTTCCAAACACAGACTTGCCAAGCTTATGATAATTTGCAAATAATGTGAATATGGATTTATATAAACCTTATTAATCAACCCGTCATCAATGACAGCACTGCTGATCTTCTTGAAGAGCTCATCAAGTGCCTCTATTTCACTAACAGTGACTGCATCCGTATCAGTAAATTAACAATGTTCAGAAGAATGATTCAATAGACCCCATAACAGAACCAAGATGTGTCTTCTATATAAAAATTAACTGCAAATGTTTTATTCCACTACCAAAAAAAGGGAAGAAAAAGCACAAGTTAAAAAAAATGAACTGAGACATACACACGGTCTCTCTAGCAAGAAGTTCAGGATCTTCAAGGCCTCTTGATTGTTTATACAAACCAATATCACAGCAACGCAGTAGGGAAGCAAATAAACGATTGATTCCCTCTATGCACTGCAACATGATATTTCCTGCACATCAAAACGCTCCATACCTTTGAAGCAAAGAAACGGATCAGAAATTCTATACACGCAGACAATCTTATGATCTGAAGTATTGATGCAAAGGCAAATGTTAGAACAAACCTTTTAACCATTTCCTGATTCTAAATACTTCAGCACAGGTGTAAAGGGTTGCAAATGCTGAGGAATACAAAACTA